CAGAGAGGTTGTGCAGTCTCCTTCTCTGGAGATATTCAAAACCCACCTGGATGCGATCTTGTGCAACCTGCTCTAGGTGATCCTGCTTTAGCAGAGGGGTTGGACTAGATGATCTCCACAGGTCCCTTTCAACCCCTACCATTCTGTGATTCTGTGACTCCCCTCAGGATCCTGAGCTCCACCATCTCATGCTCACTTCAGCCAAGGCTGCCTTTGAGCTTCACATTCCCAACAAGCCCCTCATTGGTATGAGGGGGCCAGCAAAGCAGTGCTTCATTGGTCCGCCTTGGCTCCTTTATGACTTGGAGGAAAAGGTTATCAGTGCACTTCAGGAACCTTGTGGATTGCTTATGCCCTGCTGTGTTGTCCCTCCAGAAAGTATCTGGGTGGTTGAAGTCCCCCATGAGGACCAGGGCTTGCGAATGTGAGACTGCTCCTATCTGTCTACCTCATCCACTTGTTCTTCCTGGTCAGGTGGCCTATAGCAGACACCCACTATAACATCACCTTTACCTGTCCTCTAATCCTCACCTATAACCCTTCATTTGGTTCCTCATCCACCCCAGGCAGAGCTCCATGCACTCCGACTGCTCTTTCACATAAAGAGTGACTTCCCCCTCCTTGTTGTCCTAGCTGCTCGTTCCTAAAGACCCTGTATCCCTTCATTGTGACACTCTAATCATGGGAGCCGTCCCACCACGTCTCTGTGATCCCAACAAGATTGTAGCCCTGCAACTGCACACAGATCTCTAACTTGTCATGTTTATTCCCCATGCTGCGTGCATTAATATACAGACACTTTAGAGGGGCACATCACTGATGTACCCTTATCAAATCCTGTACACGCAGGAGAGAAAGAATTCAGGGTTGCGTGTTAAATTTTGATGTTATGAAAGCTGATATTTATGAGAGAAGACAAAGAGATGCTAATTATATATACTAAGTACATACTAGGAAACAAATTTGTACAACTTGATCACTATTGTTGGACTGTATAAACAACATTGATTTGAACAGTTTTATTTCATTATTAAAATAATGGAAACCTGACTACTACTTTGAAAATTAAAGTCATTGTTGCTGTCTAAACTTTCATATTTTGCATTTATAACTTAAATTTGCTAATAGAACATTGATAGCAGCTATTCTATTCATACCTTGCATTTGCACTTAATTTTGATTATTGAGGATAGATTAGATAAAGTTCCATAGTAACAAGTTACTAGAACAGCAAGGTGACATTAATTTTCCAAACTCTGATACCCAATAAAAATGACACTCTTTTGAATATAAATTTTTCAGCAATAATTTAAGTAAATGGTTGCTCGTGCAATGACCCATCCAAACAGCCTCCTCATATTTAAACGACACCGTTAAGGAAAAAAAAATAGTAAGGGAATTGCCATGCAATCATGTCAGCATTTATAATATGCTAACAAAACTTGGAATTCCAAAATTTGAGTATTTCAGCAAACTCCTGGGAAAGCACAGGCCTCCCAGGCTGGGTCAGCTTGGGAAAGTTGTTATGTGTTTCATAGAGAAGAAAAAAGATGTAGCCTGCTGGACTTCTTGGCTGGTGGGCCACCTGCAAGCCACATTCAGTCTAACTTGGTAAAAGAGTAATTTTTTTTTAAACACAAGCAGTAGATTGCCAAAGGGAGGAGCAGACAAACCTGGGAGAGCAGGGCGTACCCACAATCTGCTCTTCATGACCTAAGATCTCCAAGTCCAAACCTCCAAACGATGTCTGGGTATCACATAGGATGTGGAAGTTGTTTCTGACCAGACTCTTATATGAACTCAGTAATGCTCTCTAGCAACCAATTCCATATATTCATAATGTGCCCTTAATGATTTTCTTTTATAGAATTTAAACATATTTCAACATCACTGTTTCTCTCCTTGCTCCTTAAAGTGAGTGAAACATTGCCTTTTTAACCATTGATTTCCCTCAACATTGCATACTGCCACTTACTCTTGATCTAGAAAATTTAGATGTCTGGCAGTTTGGGTTGTTTTTACTCCTATCTATATACCATAAGAGGAGACATGAACTTGACATGCATTAAAACCCTTGATTTATTCAATAGCATACTGTTTCAGTAAGTTTTTTATCCCATTCTTCACATATCTCAATATTCTTCCCTCGTTAGAAAGCAAGCATTCTTACTGAGCAGTTCATAATAAACAATGACCAAATTTTTTTCCAGGGTAATCTTCAGTCTAAAATGCAGTAATAGAAACAAATAGGTCAAGTTATTAGTTTTAGTATTGGTTACCTTTTCAGTACTAAACCTCCAGTTACTAAATGCTGTACAGTCATATAGTTGTTAGGTTTTTCTACAGTAGCCATCAGCCTTCTCCTATTCTGAGTAATGCAAATAATGTGTCCTCTGTCACTTGTATCAGAAGAATTTTACACTTGGTGACACCACACATTTACACACAACCAATTAATTTAGATTTTAGTGCAAATGTTGGGAGAAGCAGCATTAGACTGCTCCGGTCTCCCTTTCTGATACTTCTGAAGTTTCTAATCTGTGATTATCTAGTCTTCAGTTGTGTGTTCTCAGTTTGTCAGGGTCATTTTGGAAAACCAGTTGTATCTTCTTCCTTTTGGGTCATACTACAAGGAGCATGGCTTTTCTGTTAACTCTGCAGTTGTGTAAAAGCTATTTATCTTCTTTTTTCTGGTGGGATAACACTAGTCCTATATTTTAGGAGAGAGGAACAATCCTTTGCAGCTTGCTCCCTCCTTACCCTTTAGCAAAACATTAAGATGTCTCCTTCTGTGTTGCTCTTTTTGTCCAGAACACCCATCTTTCTTCCTAGCCCGTGCCTGGGAATAGGCCCATCATCCTACCACAAAAATCCTCCTTTACTCCTTGTGGTGAGCCTTTGACAACTTACCTGGTCAGCAGAATAGAAGAGCGTGTACTACAGTGTGATCTTCAGTGCTGCGACAGGGAGGGCCACCACTCATGTTTGGCTCCATGTACCTGCCCAAGTGCTACTACACCTCCCAAATAGCAGAACAGCAGCAGCTGGGCAATATCAGCTGTGACAACTTTAACGTTAGAGAGCCCTTGTAAGCTAGACCAACTCCTTCCCCAGCTAAAGATTATGAGCTTTATAGAAGCTGGCTTCAGAACAGTTATTTTAAAAAAGGAAAAAAAAGTGAGCGAGAAAAAACTCAAACACCTCATGTTAGACATGGATGTAAGAAAAGACCCAGAAAACAGTAAGGACAAGAAAGTAGAACTAAGACATAGTAATGTTTCATTTTATTTTATAGAAAGTTGCTTCAAAAATATGATTAACTATATACATTCTTATATGCTGTACATACAGTGCATATACAAAATATACATAATAGCAAACATCCTTCTGTTGCATTTTGTGGATGGTAGTTAATAACATGAGATAGGACTTAGATCATATTTCATACTTGCTTTCATCCTGATCTTATCTATAAGGAATTGATAGACATGAGAGATTAAAAAGGCTAGCAGATCACTTAATTCATACCCCAGCCCCACAAAAGTCTTCTTCACAGTGCATTTTGTTAGTGCATTGTTCTAGTACAGTTATGTTTGCAGCACTTTCTTTTAGAGGTATTTGGCTGCTAACCTTCAGGGTGTTTTTCTGGCATTCACCCTAATACTATTTCTAATTTATTTCTATAGCTCAGATCTTCTGAGTTACAGAAATCTTCCTCAAGTCAAGCTAGGTTTCTTCAACTTTATGTTAGGTTTTTTTTCTTCATCTTGACTCCTTAGTTGTTTGTTTGCCACATACGAAATAGGTTTAACTATTAGTACTCTCTGATCTGGGAGAAGTACACTCAAGCACGAATGCTATAATCCAGGTGTTCTTTCCTTCCCATGCTACCGGCACACTGTAAACCTGGCATCAGTGAGGAAAAAAATGTAGCTTCCCTCCTCCTCCTCCTCAGGCAATTAGAGGGTGTGTGACTGCCAGCTGCTCCCAGGGGCAAGTGGCAAGTGGTGTTAGATTTCAAGAGGAACTGCCCAGTTACTGGGATTTTTCTAGTCCCAGTCCCATGAGGAATGCTCTGTCTGCCTACTTGCTCTCCCAGCAAGAGGTAGCATACCAAAATTGGAACACAGGGAGTAGAGGGTAGCAATTCTGCCTTGTACTACTTGCTTCCAAAAGACAGTCCTCCATTTCCCGACCAGAGGGATCAGGCACCCTGATGTTCAGGGAAGAAGGGAGAGCAAGAGCTGCCAAACCAGCAGGATACCAGCAGCAGTAGGCCTGTGAGAGAAGGCGTGGCCTCCACAACCTAAGAGACTATCCTGGAGGACCCCTGAGCTAAGAGGGAACATGGCTTCTTTCATTGCCTTTCCAGCTTTCAGAGGTTAAAAATGAGCTGCTGCTTTCTTGCAGACATCTTGAGAGCTCCAGTTTCATTGCCCCAAGAATGTTTTCTTCTTTCCAAGTTAACAGCATCCTTCGCTATCTATTTTATTCCTTCTCTGCTCATGTGGCTCTGTGCTGGTCATAATCTTAATTTCACTAGGAAATTTTTCTATTCTCTTTTCCTATCTCTATATCTTTTTTGTATTAATATGCAATAGCTTTCTCTGATCGGTAAAGTGGTTTTCCATCAGCTATCAAGGTGAAAGCAAGGGGATTAAGGTTCCTTTTATACATTCTTTTGGTATTACTTTAAATCATGTTTTTTTCTAGCTAAGGGGGACTCTTCTTATATTCTTCAGAATGAGTTTATATTTTTTTAATTACTGTGTAACATGCATATATTTAATAATATCTTAAAGCCAAAGATATTAATATGCCTTCGTTTTTTTCTATGCTGTGGGATTTTAATTTGTTTGAGAAAATAGTTCTCAGGCTTCTATTCTGCTTGAAGTATCTCTGTCCACTGTTTCTAGGCCGATTTAGATATTACTTCTTTTTTATTTTATACTACTCCTTAATCTCCATTAAGAATTTGAACCGGTATGAAATACCTTCTATTACTCTTTGTCTGAATTCCTGAGATCCTGTGTGCAACCCTGGTTGGGAGAGGGCGCTGGTGAGCTTCTGGTGAGATGAGACTGCACCTTAGAAGAAGTGGGTTTGAAGCACTCCTGCTGACCTTGTGTGGTGGGAGGTGGAGGAGACAGACAGCTGTTGCTTTGCCGAATTTGTGCATTAGCAGCTGTTGAATCATCATCCTGCTGGTCTTGTGTGCTGGGAGGAACAGCAGAAGAGATGATGCCCTGAGGAGCAGCTGTTGAACCACTGTTGAGACAATTTATGACTGAGCTTGAGATAGTCACATTAAATGTGCAATTACTACTGTTCTTAGTTTCTGAGCAGCAGAGTTTGTTTATTAGCTAGTTAACTAGTTTTCTTCATTGACACATTCCCCTTCTCCTTGTTTCACCTCAGCCATATGGATCTGAGATGGTCACTTGTCTGTCTGGTTGGATTTGACTCCAAATTCCTTCTCTTGAATTGTAATCACGTTCTGAGGAAAGGCAGAGGAGGTGGGCAAGGAAGGAGGAGCAGCAAGGGAGGAGATCAAAACTGCAGTATCATCAGTTTTAAAAGTTAGTAACTTTTGTGTAAGTTAGTTGTTACTAAAGGTACTGCACAATAGCATTTTCTCTTGGCCCTTCTGTACTTCATTGCTGGAAGGTGAACTGAAGGAGGAACTGTCAAATTATCAGCACTTTTAAATTCTTCTCATTTTCTTACAGAGAAAACTTGTGTCATCTGAGTTAAAGGAATGGCCACCATTATCTTGATTACTTACAAAGTGCTTAAATGCTTTTATAGTGAGGAAATTCTGAACAGATGTAAAATGAATCTATTGTAAATGCATTCTAATAAGCATCCATTCAAGACAAGCTATGCAGGTAATATCTGCATTGGTTTCAGTGGATGTTGGACTGGATTTTACATAAGCACTTATCAATACCAGACATAAAAACATATTTATCAAGTTTAAACTGAAAGGTCTATAGGGAGTATTAAAAAACAACCCAGAATTGTTATAGTGCTAGCTCAAGATCCTCCTGTCAAGGCTTCAGGAATACTGTGTCTGTACATGAGAAGACTCAGGAATTAGCAAAATTTATGGATTTATGTGATGAAGATAAAGATATAAATATAAAGTAGTTAAGATTTAATACTTTCAAAGAAGACAGAGTCTATATTTCTGTGCTTTTTTTTTAACCACCTGTGTCAAGGACAAGGAAAAATACTACAGTGAATCAATGCACACTGTATATTACAAATACAGAGGACCTTTGTTTTATGAAGCTTTCTCATCTCTAGGAGAAAAGCATTAACATAGTAAACTGTATTTTAGCCAGGCTAATGCATTTGTTTATTGTTTCCACATGGGAAAACCTGTGTATGTGGATTCTTCCAGTAGATGTTATCTGAGTATTTCTCAAGTAGTAATTCATAGACCACTGGTGGTCCATGGAGTACTTCCAGGTGGCTTAGAGAGGAATTTTAGCAGCAAAGCACTGCCACTTTTCAAACAATTGTGTTGTAACATAGTCAAGTATCTTGGGGTGGTTTCGTTCATTGTTTTTTTTGTTGTTGTTATGAAGTGTCTTACAGTTGCAAATATACATTTTAAAATGTGCACAAGATAACTGAACTAGAAAGAAGTAAAATATTATTTCAGTATGGAAAGTCACAGTAAGGACAAATCTGTTCTCCCTGTCTCCCTGATTTTAATCCCTTCTCCTGTTCCTGAGGAGAGGCTGAGGGAGCTGGGCCTGTTTAGCCTCAAGAAGGCTCAAGGGGATTTTATCTATGTGGATTAATATCTGATGGGAGGGTGCAAAGAAGATGGAGCCTCTTCTCAGTGGCGCCCAGTGGCAGGACCAGAGGTAGTGGGCACAAACTGAAACAGTGAAGGTTCCCTCTGAACATCACGAAACACCTTTACGCTGTGAGGGTGATGGAGCACTGGAACAGGTTGCCCAGGGAGGTTGTGGAGATGCTCAGCCCAACTGTGCATGGCTCTGAGCATGTCTAGGTGACCCTGCTTTCAGCAGTGGGGGTTGCACTAGCCAATCTACAGAGGTCCCTCCCAACTTCAACTATTCCATGATATGTACGTTTGGTATATAAGGAAACAGTACTATGCAGATAGTTGACTTGACTGACAATAGGGACGAGTTCAGCACTTTTAGACTTAGTCTTGTTCACAAGGTAAGAATGCCCATAATAAGCAAGATGTTATTTAATAATTCCTCTCCCCCAATAATTTAGATTCTTCTGGCAGTAAAAGAATGCTAATTTAGCTCTCCTACAGTACTTCTATCAGTAGGTACAAAAGAGGTGTGATTTTCCTTATCTTTACTTGTGGGTTATTTGAGGTGCAACAGGTGACGTGAAAATGGAATTGACTGGTCTCTGGAGAGCCTACAGAAAATAATAATAAAAGTAAATAATGCCAAATCTAAACCAGACGTACTGATCAGGGTAACTCCATGTGTTTACTTCTGTATCCTCTTCCTGTAATTTAATAGCCTTGTGCAGCTTTGTCTAGAATGAGCAACTTTTTTTGTGCTGTAAAGTTGGACTGCTTCTGTATTACAAGGTTATGAAAATATTTACTTACTTGTCAATGCATCTATGAACATTTATCTTCATGGTAATTTTAGGACTGCTTTTAGATTTTGTTACCACATGGTAATATATGGAATTACATATTGCAGGCTACATTTTTATTTTTTTCTAAGACTTACCAAAAGCTATGCTTCTGAAAAGCACCTGAGTTAAGATCTTTGCTTAAAATTGGCTTCTTGGTGCAATTGTTCAGTTTTTGTCCCATCATTCGCCTAATTAAAGCATCATCCGTGTTTGGAAACAACTGTTTTGTGATTCCTGCAAAATAAAGACATGATATATATGAGGCCTCCAAATCAGTGAAACAACTCGTTTCTAGCACCTTGAAATTTCCAGCTACTTCATCAGCTTCAGCTCTAGTTACTTTGCTTCTTCACAGTACTTCATAGATTTTGCACGCGCCAGCTCTTGCTTTTTTCTGTGCCTTCTCTTGGCAAACTCAGAGGGAACTCCAGGGCCACAAAGGGCTTCCTGTAGTGAGTGATTTGTGTTTGCTCATCCTCTCTCCCTTTGTTCTGCTCTTGATCACAGAGTCCTATTCCTATCCTCGTCAGTCCTCATGCCTCTGAATCTTACAGATTTTGTTCAATAATTTTCATTTGCAGGTGATGTCTCCTTACCTAAAAATTTCCCTTCTGTTTTGCCTGGCTAACTTTTTTGAATGCAAAAAACCAAACAGAACTCAACATCAGGAATGCAACTCCTGCTCTCCTCTATCATCTTCCCTTCCCCTGTTTTTTTTTTCTTCCCCTCTTTCATTTCATTTTGAAGTTTTATAGTTTCCATCTTCTTTAAATCTGATCTACTAACTCCTGTTCTACAGTCCTAGAACTCCCAGGCTTCCCTCTTATTTTAGTTCTTCTCTTGTATAATGTTGAAACTTTTCTATTTGAATTCAGGAATGTTGTCATTTCCCTTAAACTTCTTTAACTTCTCTATAGGTTCCCCTTGGTCACTGAATTCTCTACAGTCTGCTGTATTCAGTGTCCTGATTATCTTTGCTTCCCTTTTCAGTTTTGCCTAGACCCTTCCCCAGAATCCACCTTTGAAAAGTCACTGGTAGCTCTTAGAATCATAGAATCATTGAGGTTGGGAAAAACCATTTAGATCATCGAGTCCAACTGTTCTTGTCATCCCATGAAATCTTTTAATTTTTCTCATACATCATTCTGAAATTGTCTCATCTTACTGCCTCTATATTTTCACCACCTTACACGCTCTTTTTCTCTCTCTTGACTTTGGGCCTTTTTCTTTAGTTAGTCTCTTAAGGAAAAGAGGTTTCTGCAACTGATAACTTTTGAAACTGCTGGCCAGCTTCAAGAAAACTGGACCAAGGTACAGGGACTGGAGCTAAGCTGGGAAGGGAACTGAGAGAACTGGGGAAGTCCAAGAGAATGGCAATGGGTAAGGGATTCTAATACAGGAATTTAGGTTATGTTGTTCAAGTATTAAGCTATAGGTGTGAAACCAATAGAAATCAGGCTTTGTGTGCTCACAAAATACTGTTTTCTTTAAAGCTGCTACTTCCATCTTGTATGGATTGATTCTCTTTCCTATGCACCAAACATTCTTTGCCTTAAACCTCAGCATAAAACAAATTTTGTTTGCTTCTCTGATCACTATTCCTGTCTTCTATACTTATTGTCTCATTTTGCCTCCAGCATTATTTAAAATGTCAGCATTCATAACATTCACTAACTTCAGAATATACCAGACATTATTTTAAATTTGATCCAAGTGTGTCCTCTCTTTGCCTTTCCTTATCTGTTATTGTCATGCTCCAAATTTGACTGTCACAGATTAACCTTTCAAAGGCTAAAAAAAATTATAATATCACTGTGCTAAGTAACCACTTAAGTAAAACCCACAAAATTCACACAACAGAAATACTACTACTTAGCATTTCACTAACAGTATTTGTAACAGCTGAGTTAAAAAAGTATGTAGCTGAAGAAGGAAATAGGAAACAGCACATCACCCGAGCAGACCAGCTGTTTAGCATTACAGCCCCTCCCTCAGAGAAGGCCCGCTGTCAAGTCAGTGCCACATTGAATAATGTGAACAAGTCATCACCTATGATCTCCTGAACTTCATTCTGATTCATAGCTGGTTTTGCTGCTTTATCCTTTGAAGAGGAGGACTTTGCACCTGTCAGGCTGTGTGTAGCCATGTATTCGTGTGTATAAAGTGCTTGCATCAAGTCATTTATAAACTTCTGAGGTTTGCTCTTGTTACAAAGTGCAATCTGCCACTTTTCAATCTTGAACTGGAAAACAAAATCAGTCATAGGCATAACTATTGCAGTTCTCTAGAAAAATATAGAATTACCTCTGAATTTTTTTTTTTTTTACATTTTCTTTTTTTAAACCACAAATCTCTGCAAACTGTGTGCTTGAGATCAACGCTAAACTTGCATACTACTCAACGTTTGCAACTGTACATGCAGGTTGATTTTTTTTCAGAAGCAAGTCTGGGGCAGACTAAAGACCCCATTCATCCTAGCAACCACTTCACCAAGCGATCCTTATAACTCACTAGTGGAGACAGGACATGTTCAGACATATCTAAATCCTTCTGCTTGCACTCCATGCAGGCTGGCTGTGGTCCAGTTCTGGCGTGGATTCTGTACAGCCTTGGGAGCATGGCATCGTGCACATTCCTGTCTCCAAGCAGACATGCCCTAAGAACCGTGACATCTAATCCTGGGCTTTGAGAGTGACTTTGACACAAGCAGTTGTACAGCCTAAGTAGTTGAACTCTCCTAGTGGGCAATTTTGAGCTACCTCTATTAAGTAAGGCTAGGCTGCTTAGAAAATTAGCAGCAGAAAATTATTTCTTTGGAGATGCTAGGTCAAATTTTATGTATTGCAATATTCAGTAAAAAACATCACTGAAATGATGATTGATAATTCGTAATAGATTTCTTTGTTTTTTAGGAAGCCATGACAACACACAAGAATGATTTCCACCAACTGACATGACTCAATGCATAAGAATGTTTACATAAATTGTGAATGCAGAAGCTAGAATTATTCTTTTGGTTATGTCTTTATAGAATCATAGAATCATAGAATGGT